CTCGTGATCCTCATCTTAGTTGTCTCAAAAAATATAAATACCTATAGTATTCTGGAAAGCCAGATATTTGAACTTACCACCTTTAAAAAAAATTACTTATATTTAACCAGGGGTAAGAGTATATATAGAACGAAAAACTGAAGAATACAACCCAAATTGGCAAGTAACCAGGTTGATATTTTCATAACCAAAATTTTACCTTGGTTCGCAAGTTGCGAATTGACCTTGTCAGATATTAAAAAAAAAAATTATATATATATATATAGGTTTTATTTGTTTTCACACGTGTCAACAGCCCAAGCCCAACAAGAACATGTTTCATGGGCCCACAAGTAGTGTTTCTGTTTCATGAGTTTTGCTTCGAGTGTTCCAACTTTCTCACAACTCATCTCATCCTCTCACCGCAACCGCACAAGGTAGGGTTTCATAATTCTTTTTCTTCCTTTCAATTTTCACTTCTCTCTTCTCTTTTACTAATCTCATTGTTGGCGTTTGTTATTGTGTTCATCTTTGATCTCGATTATTCACTTTAATTTGCTATTTGTGTGTTCCTTTCGAAAAATATTTGGCTTTTTAGGAGGAATTTTGTCCACTCCACTATTTAATATTTGACAACTCATATTTTTTAAAACATTTTTTGTTTTTTTGTATTTCTCTCTCCTAGTTGTCAAATATTTAATGGTAGTGTGGACAAGATTCATCTAAGTAATGAGCCAAATATTTTTCGTTCCTTAATTGTAATATTTTTGCATGTACGATGAGAAAAGTTCATCTTGATCTAGATGTCTTACTCAATTACTTTCCAGAAAAATAAAATAAGAGAAATAAAGCACTAAAATAATCCATAATTATTCCGATTCATGCTCGAATACAATCGAATGTTTTATCTAATTAAGCACAAAACAAAATTCATAACTGATTTGAAATATCTTTTTCAAGTGAACTCAAAATATAATTCAATGCTTAAGCCAGCCACACCAGGTAGCTCTCATCGCTTCGACAATCCAGAGTGCTCCTGTTCTACAAGACCTCAAAAATATTATATTTGGTTCCATCCTATGAACAATTCTAAAGTATGAAATTTCATAATTTATTCTTTACATTCTTTTAAGTAAAAGTTAAGAGGATAGAAATTCCATTTAATTTTAGCAAAGAATAATTAAGTCAAGTTGGGTGAAAAAAATCTCAGAGTTAGGTGTAATAAGGATAATATTTAACTTATTTAATGAGAGTAAGAACAAGATTAGATCTAATATTATCTCTGGTTGAATTATATTTTTAAAATACTATTGTTACGAGTAGAATTAGATCCTATTTTTAGTTTGTAAAGGTTGTGTTTATCTGCTCCTTTCACGTGGCCATCAGTAGTTCTTCCAATTGTCGTTGAAGTTTGGTGTAAGCTTCTCAGCCAAGTATTCTCCCGGATCCTCAACCTCAACGTACCCGACGGCTCCACCGCTTGTTCATCTACAGAATTTTAATTAGTTGTCTTTAAGATTAATATATTTTATTATTAGAATAAAAACTAATGGTGCTTGTTTATTTTCCTTTTTCGTTTTTCCCCTTCTTGATAATTTTTAATTTTCGCCGATTTCGATGGTTAAAAATATGATTTGTTTGGGGAAGGAAATACCCTGTACACGTGGAAGACCCTCATTGGTGCTCCAAGATGGCTCATGAGTCATCCCAGCTCGGATAGCCGAGATGGCTGCCACCAACGCCGACGAAAGCTAAGTATGAGGGCCGAGGTGAACCTGGCCCAGGTCCGACCTACCGGGGAGCTCGGTAGGGGCCGATGTGAGCAACTGTCTGCGGCGTGATTATCGGGCGTAACCGTCGGTCCCGAGATCACCGGGTGTAACCGACGGTCCCGAGATTACCGAATGTAACCGTCGCGAGATTAGCGGGACCACCACCCATAAATAGAGGACCACACTCCCCCGATCAGGTACGATGATCTCTGGCTTCGAACTAAACTTGGAATCCGACCTATACTGACTTGATCGTCGGAGTGCTCACCTTTTTGTGCAGGTCCGCCCGAGTGTTCAGGTCGGTCCGAAGGTCGAGTTCGAGCTACAATCAGGAACACACTGCTGTGCAAATCCTTGCATAAACATGATTGAATAACTACGACTGACTCAGAAACTGGTATTTGACACCAAAAGTTGTCGATATCTTTTGGTTTTACCTCAAAATTTTCGAACGCGAAAGATTGTAATGTTGATGAGGTTGTACCGACGAGACTCGCAAGTTTTCGGCCAGTGGTACCGTCGCAGCCGATTGGACCTCCACTCGTGGGAGCTGCAACGACACCGTTTTGCCAAATCCCCGGGCAGTGGACAAAATATAAACACTTTCTTTTGAAAATATGATATATATATATATATATATATAAACACTTCGCCACGTGGCGTAAAGATTGACCTGTTGAATTTCTCTCTCCTAAATTCCACTTGTTTACGTTTGTCCGTTTTCTTCGTTGCTCTAGACTTGCCCTCACCTTAGTATGATTAATTAAAGCAATTAATTATCGATCAACGTTCATCTTCTTGTCTATCGTCACCAATCATGGTATTACCGAAGGTAGTGAGTACCTAACTTTCTTGTATTTATACTTGAGTACTCTTTATTTTTTACAAAAACAAAAGTGGTATATTTTTTAATCATATTTGTCAAAAATTTAACGAAGATCAAAAAGAAATCTCAAAATGAATGGTAACTGTTAAATATTATTCTTAAAGTGCATCATTTAGGGGTAGAGAGAACATTTACTCAAACTCTAACTACTTAAATAGTTAAAAGTGTAAAATCTATCAGACTACTTAAATGGTTAAAAGTGTAAATCTATCTGTTTCTAATAATCAGAAAAGATTTGAAATCTGTCAACGTCAGAATCTTTAAATACGAGTTTAAAACTACGTAAGTATGCCAACTGTAATCTTTACTTTGACGTATAGGTGATCCATTTAATAGATTAATGGTACAACAATATTGAATAACAGTATAGAATAATCAGCCACGTTGTTTCAAAAAGAATAAATTAGATTAGAGCAAAGCAAAACCCACCTGAAAAACTTCCTCGGTTCCACCGTAGGTTGCTCTTTTTAATCATAAAAATTTCTACGTACACAACTCGTTTTGGTATAAGAAACTAAAAACGAAAACCCAAAGGGGAAAGTTTCCTCCACAACTTGAATTTTGCATCCACACATATCGTCCTATATATTCAAAATTCTGTGTCACTCTCTTTCTTTCTCATTCTCTCTCTCTCTCTCTCTATCTCTAGGCCATCAACCGCCACCTCTTTGTCTCGCTGTCTCTCTCTCTAAATGTCAGGAGACCAA